GCAGGAGGGGGGTTCTATGGTTCCGTTTATTTTTTGAATTGAGATATGATTCATATACAGTAAAACATTCCATCTGAATTGTACATCGGGGTGAAATTTTGCATTTGACACACTTGTGTGGTCAACCCTCAGATCAAGATACAGGACATTTGCAGGGCGCCAGAAAGTTCCCTCATGCCTCTTCCCAGCCAAAAGCCAAGGGCTCCTTGAACCTCCAATACCATAGATTAGATTTGCCTGTTTTTGAACTTCTTATAAATAAAATTACAATTTTTAAAAGCTTGATCAGGGTGCTAGTTTACATAGAGGTCCACCGAACTATACACATATGATTATGTATTTTTTTTATTTTATGTTATATCCCAATAAAAGTTAAAGTGTGGGCCAAGAGGAAAACGATTTTCGGGCACTGTCACTTCTCCCGGGGTCAATGACAGTAGTGGCACCTGTCTGTGGCCGCTCCACCACGTGGTCTCGGTTGATGGCATTGGTCGGGGGCGGAGGGGCTGTGCCCACGAGCTAACCTGTCTCTCTCTTCTCTCCCCCACTGTGTCTCCGCGCGGCAGTCCTGGGTCCATCCACCCCATGTGCTGCGTGTGTCCGTAAAGCTCACTCCGCGCTGTCTGGCGGCGAGCTCCATCTCATCTCGTCCTCGCGGCCCTGGCGCGGCCTCAGCATGGCCATCTCATCACGACTCGCCCTGTGGGAGCAGAAGGAAAGTGCCGCTCGGGGCTGGGGCTGCAGCCGCGGGGCCGACGCGACCCTCGGAAGACAAGTCGGGGCCGCGTGCACCGGCCTGCGCTTCCCCACCTTGCCACCCTCTCGTGGCGTGCCCAGTGCCATCTTCCGTCCTCTCCCAGCCAGCTCGGTCGGCCGGGCACTGGTGACCACGCCCTCGACCCTCCCATGGCTGCCTGTCTCTCCTGCTCCCGTTGGCAGTGGGGAAGTCAGGGCAGACCAGCCGTGCTGTCTAGGTCCTCGTGGCCGCTCTGCTAAGCCCCGGGGGTCGCACGGGAGGAGGAGCGTGGGGGCAGAGGCAGGGCTGTCGGCTGCCAGGTTCATGCCGCAGGGGCGGGTTTCTGTGGCCCCTGCCCCCAGTTACCATGGAGAACTGGAAACAGGCTCTTCCCCCCACTGACTGCTTTCTCCCCTTTGGTATTTCTTATGAGATACCAAGGCTGCTTCTTTCACGGCTGCCTGTTACCTCCTCCGCCCCTCGCCCCACCGGTGCATGTGATTCGATGAGTTGGAGATGTTACCTGTGGGGTGGGTGCCCTCACCCCTCCCAGCCTGGGGCGGGTGGCGTTGAGGCTAGCGTTGGGAGGGGCAGAAGTCCACCCGCTGCGTGCGCCTTACGACCCCCCTACTTACGGAGAGTGGCGTGAATGTGAGAGCAGCCGCGCACGCCCCTGCCTCTCTGCTCCCGGGCAGAGGTCTGCACCCCCTCCCCCGGCTTCATCCGTGGCCTCCGCCTTGTCTCCCAGCCTTTGCTCCCTCCCTCCAACTCCCCCTTCATCAGCAGGGCTGCAGAGAGCACGTCTTTACCGGACACACAGAGTGTGCCTTGATAAGGAGGCTATTTTAAACCAGTGTCGAGCTCTTCCTTATAAAGCGCTGGTGACTTTTTTATTTTCTCACGAGCAGTCACAGTAACGCAGGTTAAAGACAAATTCCAGTTGGCTACAGCCAGGACCGTGCCCCAGCCTCCAAGGTTGCTGTAGCCAACAAAGGGGTCTTAGCTGCAACCAAAGTCCAGCCAGCTTCAGCCTGGGCCACATTTCTGGGTGTAAAATGCCAGAGCCAGCCTGCCGCATGTAGGCCCCAGTGTTAGGGAGTCCCTGGCTGCCCAGGTCCTGGTTTAAGGACTGTCACGAAGCCGTAGCACTCTGAGTGGGCTGGAGTCACAGGGTTGGACCCTTACGTAAATCATGGCTACAAATCCTTCCCTATTTAACCGTGTTAATTAAGCGATAAATCTATTTTGCAAACTATAAGCTGAGGTAGGCAGGAGAACGTGGATGGTTCCCTGTGATCCATCCCCTTCTAGAAACTGGACAAGCTCCTTTCAGAGCAGGTCCTCCCAGAGATGGGTCTGTCCCCATGGCCAGGAAGGGAACCAGCGGCCTTGATGGTCCAAATTCACACCACGAGGAGACTCCGTCTAGGTAGAAATCACTTTTCCATTTTCCATGCTGCCCCACTGAGCCTCGCCTGCTTCATTGTGGCCTCTCAAACCCGGGCTTGGTCATGTGTGTCCCTCTTGGCCCCCTCCCAGACTCCCACCGCAATGTTTTCGAAGGGCCACGTGCCCCTGCTGGTTCACTCACTGCGCTCTCTCCTTCCTTGCTTCTGCAAAACAGATTCGGGAAGAGGACAAGAGCCCCCCACCGTCCTCGCCCCCTCCCCTTTTCTCTGTCATCCCAGGGGGCTTCATTAAGCAACTGGTTCGGGAGACTGAGAAAGAGGCCAAGGAAGCGAGACAGAAGAAACAGGCGGCACTTGTCTCTCCGGAACAAGAGGTAAGTGGCTCCCAGGGAAGGGACCTCGTGCCGTTTCATACCCACCATCCTGTCTCATGAGCCTCCTCTGAGTCACTTGTCTTTGAGTCATTCTGCCTTTGCTCCTGCTGTCCTGGCTTTGAGGAATGTCCTTTCTTCAACTTGATCTGTTGAACTTCTACACATCCTTCAAAACCCAGCTCAAATAGCACATCTCTGGAAAGTCCTCCTATCGTCCTCCTTCCTCTGATTCCCACCGCACTCTCTGTGCCTGTCTTAATAGTGGTTGGTGTAGTAATTACTTGATTATATGAGTTATTTGACTAGGAATTCCTTAAGAGCAACAACCAGCTCTCTCATTCAGCTCTGTATTGTGAGCAGCTGTCATAGTGACTGTTCAACAAATGTTTCTTGAATGAATGAATGGATGATATCAGTTGATGGATTACTGGTGAGGATCCTTTTACTGCTATTTTTGCAGAAAAGGGAACCTAGATACTGGCTAGGATGTAAAGTTCGTTCACATTAATTTGAGCAGAAAAGATATTCCATTGGTACTCATGGCATGGTTATGATATGGTTTTTTGAATTTTTGACCTTTTCCTTGGCGGTTATTGGTTGGCCTGGTTCCCAGGCCCCGGTGCCCTCCAGTTGCCATGGTCACCCTGGCCCCTCTCCTGAGTCCCTTAGAATGGCCACAATCCAATAACTAAGGGGCTAATGCTTGGCACAGGTGGGAACCTCAGTACCTTCCTCCAGCTGGTGTCCCTTCTGATTGGTGGATGTCCACAAAAAACCCTTAAGTCTTCTGAATAGCATTGCTGGATTGAAGCAATAGCTGAATACAATGCAGCCCCTGTGCTTTAAGGACTTGCACACTTGTCCCTGGTGGTGACAGTGCTCTCTCCCTTCTTTCTTCCACCTCCTTAATCAGGGAACCCAGGCAGGGGGAGCAGGCTGAACAGGAGGAAGGCAGGCTGGGAACCAGCGCAGCTTGGGAGTAGCACTGTGTTAGGCAGAGAGGGCATCACCTTGTGTCTCTCCAGCGCCCCCTTGGGGCAAGCTGAAGGCTGCATTGGTTGGGCTGAGAGCTCTGGTGGCCTGAGGGCCCAGTGTGGGGTGAGCCCAGTGTGGGGTGAGCCCAGTGGCCAGCCTGGCTCCTCCCCCTACTTCAGCCTTGGTTTTCCCAGCCAGTCCTACTCACGCCTGCACCTGTCTGATTAACGACTCCGCTGCATCAGACAAGTCCTCCAGCGGCTGCTCAGCCGCTGCTGAAACACCCCAGCCAAGTCTTTATGGGGGAGGATGACAGCGAGGACAGGCTCTGTCCCAACCCTTCCCTGACCTAAGGCATAAGTGGGATCCAAAGGGGACCCCAGTAGGCTGTTACCAGGTCACGATGAAATGTTGCCGTATGCCGTTCATCACTAGACGATGCTTACTTTGCTGTTCACGGGCTCATTTGATGCCCTATACAACAATAGGGGTGGATGGCATTCTACCCATTTATCAGAGATGGAGACTGAGGCCCAGAGGGGTCAAGTGAATGGCCCGAGGTCAGGAGGCCAGATAGAGGCAGAGCTAGGGCAAGAGCTTGTGTGTTCTCTGCTCTCGAGAGCTGCCTGGGGAAAGACTGGTGAGTGAGGTGGCCGGGAAATTGCCACGGAGGCCTGGCGGGGCACAGGGTTCCACGAGGCTGTGGGCGATGCTGGCGTCCTTGTGAACAGGTTAAGAGGCAGAGCTGAGTTGGCAGGAATAGACTGTCACTGCTGGGCCTGGGATGGAGACTCAGGGGCAAGACACAGGATGGACAGGCCGCGGCCCACAACAGGTGGCCGGAGCATGGGCCAAGATGTGCCTGGGGCTGGAGCAAGGGAGCGTCGGAACATGTTCCTGCGGGGCGGCAAGCACCAGCTGGTTCCTGCCGATTTAATTTTTCTGCTCCCGATCAGTAAATACCTCCTTATTCTCTCTCCTCGTCCCAGCACAACCGCTCCGTTTGATCCTTGTATAATCTTTGCAATGAGCCTTTGGAATCCATCCCATTTTGCGGGAATGGAAAACAAGGCTTGGGAGGTGAGCTGATTTCCCTAAGGCAGGGAGAAGCTGGAATACCACTGGAGTAGAAGACGACCCATCTGGAATGCCAAGGAGACCTGGGTTCTAGCTCCGGCCTCACAACTTTCTGCGGTCCTGGCCAAGTCCCTCCCGCTCTCTTGACCTCACTTTACCCATCTTTAAAATGGATCTGCCAAGAGTTTCCTCTCAGCCCCAGCTATTCTATAACTGCTGTTTCTTCTGTGTGCTAGCAAGGGTGCAGGGCTTTGATGACTGAGGAAGAGAATTCGTGAGGTCGGGGGGAGGCTGGGATTGGTTATCTTGTTCGGAACATCCTCATGCCACTGTCTCCTCTGGGGTGGTTGGTTAAAAATAAGGCACTGACTCACTTTTCAAAATGGTGTAGACAGTGGTGAGATTTGCCAAGTGCAGACAATCCTCCTTCCAAGGCTATGTCCGGCCCGGCCACAGAAGGTCAGACTGCACCACTCGGCCGTGGGCACCGGAGCCAGGTTCTCAGCTCTGGTTGCACTTGGAATCACCCGGGAGCCACAACCCAGACCAACTATACCAGCCTCTCTGGGAGTAGGGTCAAGGCATCAGTGTTTTTTCAAAGCTCCCCAGGAGATTCCAGGAAGTCCTACAGAGACAAGAAAAAGCGTGTAATATGCGCCAGTTAATGACACTGGCTTTGGGGGTCAGAGAGGCCTGGCTTTGTCTTGCAGGTCACCTCATATTTTTGCATCTGCTTGCTTACTTGCAGAATGGGGAGAAGTTCAGAAATTACCCCCCGCTGGGTCCTTACAAGGGTTCAACATGATATTGCATGATGATGGAGGGCCCATGACAGGGGATCCGTAATTGATAGCTGTTGTTATAGTATCATTATCACAAAGATGAAGATGGACACTGCGCTACGGCAGGGACCACCTGCAACAGGAGAGAGACATGAAGGACAGCTAGGATGGCATGCCCAACACAGTTATGCTGTGACTGGTGTAGACTAGCATAGGGCTTGGGACTTCTTGGATGTGTGGATCAATTTCCGATTGAGTCTTCAGGCAAAGATTTGTAGAGAGGTGACCTCTGAGCTGGGTATAGAAAGAGGAGCGGGACGTGGAGAGAGGACAGGGCACACCAGGCAGCAAGCTAAGCATACACAAAAGCCTGGAAGCAGGGAAGGGTCGGGGTGGGAGGAGACCCCCAATGCAGCTAACACGTGGAAACAAACAGGGACAGTGAGTCCTGCGTGGAGGTCAGGCGCTCCTCGTTGAGGACGTTGAATGTCCAATGGTGGTGTTAAAGGATTTTCCTGTTGGCTGTGGTCAGCTACCCAGATCTTTTGATCATGTTCAAAGTGACTGGCAGCCAATCGAAGGGACATCAGTTCAGGGGCTGTGGCAATGGTCCAAGTGGGAGGTAGTGGGTCTGGATTTGGGAAAGGTGACTCAGATGTGAAGATTTGCAGGGTGGAATTGAGTGCAAGAGGGTGGAGTCCCAGATCCCCAGGCATTGGTATCTGGAAGGCTGTGTTAGCACCGTCCAGGATGGAAGAACCCAGCCGAGGGTGGGTGATGACGCCAGGCATCAGGGCAGAACTGCCCCCCAGGCCTCCTTCTGCAGGAGCAGAGACAAAGCTGACCTTGTGGGCTCCGCAGGCCACAGGCAGGCTGGTCTGAGGATGCAGGACCAGGCAGGGCTGAAATCTCAGGGCCATAAAGGGAGAGAAGCCGGCAGTGGAAACCCGGTGGGTGCACTGCGATGTCTAGGCGAGGCAAGCATGGAGGACCGCAGGGGAAGAAACCAGAGTGCTCAGCTGGTCGGGCAGCGTGGTAGGGGGACCAGGGCAGTGGTAGGAGCAGCAACTCAGTTTCTTTCGTCTTCTGCGATTTCCAAAGTGCTTTTCCACATCTCAGCCTATAAAAGTTCAGGATGGGCCGGTGGTATCTGCCTGAACTGAGGGAAAACCGAGGCTCAGAGAGGACAGGGCACAGGATGTTGTCCACGATAGCTCAGCTGAAAAGTGTCGCTGCCTAGATGAGAACAGAGCCTCTACTGTCAGGCCCCGAGTCCTTTCCTGACCCCTTCCTGGTCCAGCAGGAAGAATCAAGGCAGAAACAATGACGGGAACTATAGCAGCAGCTGCTGCTGTTACTGAGGACGTATTAGAAGCTGGGCTCAGTTTCTCTACGTTAACTTATAATGTCATACAATAGCTTTCGAACTTGGGGTGGTATACAGAGCAGTTTGCTAAAAAGGCAGATTCCCAGGGCCCACCTGGGAGGTTCTCGTTCAAAAGGCAGGGGTGGGGGAGGAATCTGCATTTAACACAGATCCTCACATCCACCCTGCAAGATAGGCCTTTGGGATCCTCATTTTATTGATAAGGAAATAGAGAGGGGGAGTCATTTAGCTAAGGCCACGCAGCTAGGGAGTGGCAGAGCCAGGAGTTGAACTTGGTTCTGTTGGGCTCCCGAATCCACCTTGCTTCCACTCTGCCGCTTGGCTTTGAGGCGCTGGGCCAAGGTCAGGGTGTTGGGCTTGGCTCGGTGCCTGGCAGATCTTTGGAAGGAGGGATGGAGGGGTGAATGGCTAAATGAAGGGATGAAGGTGTAGTGAACAGCAAAGCCGCCAGGTCAGCAGGCAGCTGGGCGTGCTGCGGTCTCTCTCTCCTAGACCCCAGAACTTTCCGCCAGCCAGCCCAACAGCAAGTCCAGCAGTGGCACCAGCTCTGGAAGCCAGCGGATTTCCCAGGACACCCAGTCAAGCTCTCCTGGAAGCTCAAACATTCCGGGCAAGGACAGCGAGGGGGCAGGCAGCACCAGCCCTGGGATGATGACCACCATCAATGGGGAGAAGGCCCCGGAGCCGGGCTCTGGGGGGACGCCAGCCAAAAAGACCCTGCCCTTCAAGAGGGGTGTGAGGAGGGGCGACGTGCTGCTGATGGTGGCCAAGCTGGACCCGGACTCAGCCAAGCCAGAGCAGAGGACCCCTCCCCCTTGCAAGACCCCACCCCCAGCCACAGACCCTGGTGGGGGAAAGAAAGGGGAGACCCCAGGGACTCCTTGTGGCCCCCAGGCCAGCACTGAGCATTTGGCCCCGAAAGCTGAGAAGACCCGGACTGGGGGTGTTGGGGACGCAGACCAAGGGACCGCGCTACTGACAAAAGGCAGGAAGGGCCAAGGCACAACGCGAAAGGGGGATGGGGCCCCCCAGACCAAAGGGCCCACAGCGGGTGAGCCCCAGGGCAAAGACGGGCAGGGGACCAGGCCCCAAGCCCAAGGGCCCAGAGAGGGAGGACTGTCAGGAACAGCAGAGAAGGAAGGAGGCGACCCCCCAAACAAGGTGGAAAAGGGGACCCTCCCCAAGGATGCGGGGAGTGAAGGGAAGCATGCTGTGCCCCCAGTCCAGGCGAGGAAGTGGGGCGGGTTCCTGGGCCGAAGGAGCAAGTGGGATGGTCCCCAGAACAAGCAGGGCAAGGAAGGTGAGCTCCTGAGTAGGGCGGAGGAGAAGGGTGAGCAGCAGAGCAAGGCCGGGAAGGGGAAGGCAGGTGAGCCTGAGGGTGAGAAAGGAAAGGCGGGACAAGCTCAGAGCAAGTCTGGGGAGACAGGTGGAGCACGGAGTCCGACAGAGAAGGGCTGTAAGGCCCCAGGGGAGGTGGATACAAGGGGCTTGTCGCTGGCTGGGAAGGAGGGCTGGCCACAGCGCCCAGAGCAGAGAGCCCAGGAGCCCTGCGCGGGAGCGGGCGATGCGGCCGGCGCCCGGCAGGGGGCGCTGGAGGGACCCGGGCCGCCGGCTCCGGAGCAGGATGCAGACGGGCCTGGGACACGCGCAGAGAACCCAGTCGGGCCAGCCCCGCAGGAGGAGGGCACAGAAGGCCCGAGCGGAGACTCAGACCAGGTGAGGAGGCTGCAGCCCCGAGAGTGAGGCGGGACGGACGGGCCCTCTGGAGATGGAGGGAGGGGAAAGAGCTGCCCCGGGTGTGGACACGGGTGGACAGGGCATGGAGAGGGATTGGAGATGGGTGGCTGGACCAGCACTTCTTCCTTGAGAAGCAAGGGTTCTGAGGCTCCCACTGCCCTGGCCCTGGGGTGAGATTCTCCACAAAGTTAGGGAAGGTCCCCAAAATGTGTGGTGGCCCTTCGTGGCTGACATAGTTGAGCTTACTTATAATGTCATACAATGGCTTTCGAACTTGGGGTGGTATACAGAGCAGCTTGCTAAAAATGCAGATTCCCAGGGCCCACCTGGGAGGTTCTCGTTCAAAAGGCAGGGGTGCGGGAGGAATCTGCATTTAAATAAACACCCCACACCCCCACACCTCCCAGGACCCAGGAGATTCTGATTTAGGGGGTCCCGTCCCACACATGGGGTGCAGGGAGGAGGAGGGTGTCATTTGCTGGTTTAACTTGTGTGATCTTTGCTCTCAGGCACCCAAGGACAGGTGGTATGAGGCAGAGAAAGTCTGGCTGGTTCAGAAGGAAGGATTCGCTCTTGGTAATTAGGGGTGTCAGCGCCGTCGGAGGGTCTAAGGGTCGTCTCCTCTTGTACCCCTGCTGCTAGCCATATCCGCTAGGTTCTGATCACACTTTGGGGGAAGGGAGCTGGGAGACTAGGACAGAGATATGTGGCTTCTAGGGGGTGGGAAGGGTGGGATAGTTGACTGTCATTACACCCCTGACAGCTTGTCTATGGGGTGCTGTTTTCAAAGGCATTTGAGCCTGGATAATTGATTAATTAACTAAGTCATTGATGCAACAAGCATGCTTGATTCCTATGAGTTCTTCAAGGAACTCTGAGTCTAGTGCAGGTGGGCAAATAGTTTTTTTTTTTTTCTCATGAGCCCTCGTCTGTCGATTAGTTGTGGCTGATGGCTGCACTCTGCTGAGAAGCCATGTGGAGTCCCAGGCAGATCACTGCTGGGAAGAGTGATTAGTGATGTCTGCCCTGGGCACGGGAAGGGGAAATGGCAGTCTGTAGGCCATTACCTGCCATCCCCGGTGTGGGTATGAGATGGGTCAGTGCACCCCACTCTGTGCCTGGCACTGTGCCGGCTAGTAAAAGCTCAAGGTGAGTCAGGATCGGCCTGTCCTTAAAAGGGTTTCGGGTCATAATTTAGAAACATCCATGTGGCTAGATCCCACGGGGAGAAGACGTAGCCCCTTTCTGACCTGTCCCGAGCGTCCTCTCCAGCTCCCTGGCCTGGCTCAGAGCCTCTCTCCTATCCTCTCCTCCCCTCTCCCCTCCCCTCCCCTCCCCTCCGCTCTGCTCCCTGGGCGGTCCAACCAGCCACGGTGCTAAAGCCGGATGAGGGAACAGCCGACTTGCCGGCAGGCAGAGTGCGACTTTGCATCGACACTGACAAAACCATCACTGAGGTGGATGAGGAGTACGTGCATCGGGTGAGTCCCCATCCTCCTCTCTGCCTGCTCAGTACCCTCCTTCCCTGCCCCTGCAAGAGATTTCCTGGTACCTGACTGAAGATATCACTTTGGCTTGATGCCCTGGAGGGAGTTACAGGGAAGAACCCCATAGAACCCATTGCTTTACTGCAGGGACATTGTTAGGAGTCATTCACTCTGTCCTGTGGTGTTTCTGCTATGGGGACACATCAAGAGACATGTTTGTCAGGTCTTGGCTCAGGGAGTTCTTCTGATTGACCCAAGAAAGTGATTGTTTTTCATTTTATGGACATTGTAAACCATGCTACAGAGCATGTTTCCTTTTTCACTCTGGCTACCAGGGAACTCAGAGCCAGATTTGCTGCTTACCATTACCCATAACGTAGGTTCCAATGGCCTATATTTTGGGCATCAACCTTTCTTGTAGTTTTACTTTTTCAATTTTTTTTGCATACATTTTTGTTGTATACCATAAATCCTTTTGAGGACAAGTCAGAGTATAATGATAGAAAACAAGGTCTTGTCCTGCCCCTTTTCCATCCTCCACAGCCGATTAATTGAGAAGTTTTCTTCCTCGCTCATCTGCATTCCTCTCTGCTCCTCCTCTGCCCACCTCAGATCCTCCTCTGCCACTGATGTTAGGAGTGTGCAGAGGCTCAACACCCTTAGAAGAAAGGCTGACCCATAAGACAGGTCAAGCTTGACCCAAACCCCAGAGCACTGGGCCCAGAAAGCTCCCTGAAGCTGGAAAGAACAATAGGAAGCCCCTTAGAATGGATGTCTCAGGGAGCGGCTGCAAACATCCCTTGCTTCTCAAAGCGTTTAGGCAGATTTCCAAGGGATGAAAAAATGATGGGCTATTAGATCAATAAGGTGGTCTGGCTGGTGGCCTCCTTCCCTCGGTATCACAGAGTAAATTGAGGGCTCCCCGCTGAGACCGAGGAAAGGGGGAGACAGCAGCGGACACTTGCCCACTCTGAAGCATCACCTCTCTTTTCATGGTATTTGAGATACAGAAAGTGCTTTGACTTTTGCCTGGTCTGCCGTGGGAGCGTCTCCCCTCTTGGTGCAGGGAAGGCAGGACGGAAGGACCAGAGGGAAGAGGGGGTGCCGCTCAGGTTGCACAAAGGGCAAGGAGAAAGGATGGCCCTATTCTATTTGTAGGGTTTCATCACTCCCTCTCGAGAGTCATTGTGTTCTGTTCTGGGCTTTGGCGCAGCTCTCATGGGGTGGGCTCACTGTGTGTGTGTGTGTGTGTGTGTGTGTGTGTGTGTGTGTGTGAGTGTGTGCTGGGGGGGCATGGTGGTGTGGTTGGGGCCCAGGAGGCCAGAAGAGACTCTGTGTGTTGGTTCGCAGGCCAACCCCCCTGAGCTGGACCACGTTGAGGACCTGACTTCTCTCATCAGTGTCAATGAATCCAGCGTCCTGAACACGCTTCTGCAGCGCTACCGGGCTCAGCGGCTGCATACCTGCACGGGGCCGGATCTGATCGTGCTCCAGCCCCAGGGGGCCTCGGCACCCTCTGCGGGGAAGGTGAGGTGGGACCGTGGGAGCAAAAGGGGTGGGGGGATCCCTCTGCATCCTGGGGGACAGCAGAACTGCCAGAGCCCCTGATAAACCTGCCTGTGAGCAGCATCCCGCCAAAGACGAGATTCTGGGGCATCGAGGGGCACCGAGGACCATGGGATCCCCCACACCCTAGAGGGGATAGATACGTAAGTCACTGTGGGACAACGGTGAATGAGTATCGACTCTACCAGACACTGCTTCAAGCACTTTCATGTATTATCTCAATTAATTCTCACATCCAGCTGAAAAACGGGTCCTCTTACTAGCCCATTTTACAGATGGGAAGAGCTAGCTGACATCAGCCACTAAGCTCTCATGTGGAGCAAGCAGAGGAGCTGGGATAAAGCCCAGCTGTGCGCCTCACCCCATGCTGGGGATCCCCAGGAGTCCTGACAGCCACATCAGTGGGGAAACAAACCCTTCAGTTCTCATTTTTGATTTTTTCCCTGGGAAGTGGAGGAAGGGCCAATTTTTGTCAAGATGGGCAATCTCGCAGCGCCACCTTGTGGAAGGACGAGGCACCACGGCCGAGTCGGTTGCTGCCGCCGGGGGCGGGGTGCCTTGTCAGCTCCCGCACGTGGCGATAATGATGACGCCGCTTTTACTCTGAGCGTGGTGGCAGCTCCTGGGGACTCCTAGCAGAGCAGGGGCATGATCCGACTCAGGTTGTAAAAGGGTTGCATGGCTGCCGGGTGGAAGACCGATGGAAGGTTGCACAGTGGCTGTGGGGAGACCTGCAGGAGGCGAGACAGGCGCGCTGTGCCGGGGCTTGCTGGGAAGGCACAGGCCCCTGGAACACCCGGTGCCTCGGAAGGATCACGGTGCTTCTCTGGCCTTGGTTTTCTCATCTGTCCATGGGGGATGGAAAGCCGCATCTTGTCCTCTGCAGGGAGCAGCATGGGACACGCCCACTGCTAGTCCCCAAACAATGCTAAACCCATTGAAGAGAAGACAGTGGCCCCGTGGCTCCCCTGACTTTCCTTCTCTGGAATAACCACCTCCACCCCATCCCTTCAGTCGCCCCCCAGGCCTCTCCCAGTGTGGCTGTCCGTGGTCAGGGGCCCGGGAGGACTTCAGAAGCTCTGGGTGGGCCAGCGCCCGGCAGGTGCCCTGTCCCCTCCCTGCTGTGCGTGCTTCTGCTCCTGCTGCTGCGGCCCCAGGCCTCAGAGCCCTCCGCACGGCTGCGTGACACCTCTGGCTCCCTGGAAATCCCTGGGAAGGATTTTTTTCTTCAGGCCCCGACAGCAAGCCAGGTCCGCGTCGGCCACCCTGGACCGAGGCATCAGCACTTAGGCAGAAGTGCCTAAAAGTGTGGAATCCGGGCCCCACCCTGCCCACACCCGAACCACCGCCGCCTCCTGTCCTTTGGCTGATTCAGCCTCTGATTCCCCAAACGGCCACCAGGTGGCAGCACAGACCCGCAGTGAGGCTGGGACTGGGGCCGCCTTGAGAACGGACTGGGTGGAGTCCGGGCAGCACGGGGAGGGGGGCTCTGTCACTCGGGATGGCCCCGCAGTGCCGCTGGGAGCAGGGCATGTGCCTGCAGTGCGCGGGTCCGGGTGGGCGTGAGCTGGTGGGTACAGGTGGGCGCACGCTGCACGCAGAGGCCTCTGTAACTGTCGGGTGCGTGTGCCCACGAGCACGCAAAGGTCCACACGCACAAAGGCAGAGGCGCGTGTGCACGCGTGCACCTACGTGTGCACCTGGACGTGCAGAATTCTTCCTTCTCCCCTTTAGGCAGCGGCCCCGAGAAGGGTTTGTCCCACTTTGCCTGCTTTAGGGTCCCTGTGTTTGGCATTGGGGTAGGGACCCATTGCTGCTCCTGAGGTCTTGGCGCGGGAGAAGCCAGCAGTGGATTAGGGGTGGTGCCCCATCCCCCGCTGGAGGTCTGGACTTGGAGGAGGACCACCACACTGGGGTTTGTGCCAAGGCACCGGGGAGGTGGCAGATGGAGCCCGGCCGGACCCACTGGTCACCCGCTCCAGGCCTTGGACATCCCCTCCAGTCGGACCCACTCCCCCTGTTCCTTTGGGTGCCCTTCCACCGACCTCACAGTCACCTCTTGCCCTTGTCCCTTCCCCCTAAAGGCCGTCAGTGTCACCACTGACCTCCGTGCTGCCAAGTCCAATGTCCCGTCTCTGGTCTCTGGACCCTCAGCAGCACCTGCCCCTCCCTCTGGGAACACTCCCTTCCTTGGCTCCAGGATTCCGCCCCCCTGGTTTCCCTCCTGTCCCCCCCCTCCCTATTGCCTTCAGTGTGACCTTCCAGGCCACCCCCTGTCAGGGTGCCCCGGTCCCCACACCCTTCCTCTGTAGATGCCCCCTTCCTTGGTGACCTCACCAGGGCGCGTGGCTCTCCAGTGACTACCGTTGGAGAGAATTGAGAGATTTGCTTTGTGGGTCGTCTTTCTCTTCCCACAGAAACCAAGCCCCACAGAGGCAGGAGATTTCTTTCTTTTTTTTAAGGTCAGCTTTATTGAAGTATGATTTATATACAGTTCAATTCTCCTTTTCAGTGTACAGTTCTGTGAGTTTTGACAAAGGTGTACCGTTGTGTAACCGCCTCCACAAACAATTATGAGTCGGTTCCAATCACCCCCAAAAGTTCTCTGGGCGCCCCTGTGGTCAACCTGCCCCTCAAGTTCCACCCTTGGCAGCCACTGATCTGGTTTGTGTCCCTCTAGTTTTGCCTTTTCCAAAAAACCATCATATAAATGGAATTGCATGGTATGTAACCTTCTCAAATGGCTTCTCTCTCTCACCAGAATGTGGTTGAGACCCGCCCATGCTGTGGCGTCTATGTGTGGTCGGTTTCTGTATTTTATTGTACGGATGCTCTCGTTTGCTCATTTGTTCACAGGGTGACCAATTGTCCTGATTTGTCTGGGACTGAGGTGTTTTCTGGGCCATGAGAGATGACTATCCCTGGCTATACCAGGATAGTTGATTACCTTAGTTCACTAGTTTGGGTTGTTTCTAGTTTTTGGTGATTTTAAAAACATATTCGATATAACCAATGATGCAGAGGGTTTTCTGTGATCACAGATTTTCATTTCTTTTGGGCGGATACCCGGAGTGTGGTTGTGGGTCACATGACGAGCGTACGTCTCACCGTTTAGGGAACTGCTGGACTGTTTTCCAGAGTGGCTGTGTGATTTAGCATTCCCGCCAGCACTGTGTGAGAATTCTGGTTGCTCCGCATTTTCACTAGACCTTGGTCGTGACTGTTACAAAATTTCGTTAGCCATTGTGATAGGTGTCTAATGGTGTCTGCTTGTGGTTAGCGGGGATTTCCTGTGCCCGTTTTGTGTCGTGTTCTGCCCTAAGTGCCTGCTGCACAGTAGACACGCAAAGACTTTTTTTACTGATTAAACAATGAGTGCATGGGCGAAGTGGGTGGGGTTTCAGGTATCACCGAAGTCTGCTATGGCAAAGACACAGCACGCATGCCACCAACACCCCCACGGGCCACGCCGTGTTTCCACGGCAGACATCACTAATCAATTGCACCATTGTATCCGGCCGCCTCGTTTCAGGCAGATGCCATCCATTGATTTGAGTAGCCGATGCGATGGATCTCACGGGCTGATGCAGCTCTCGCTCGAGCCTCCAACTAGCTAAAGAGGGGACCCAGGCTCAGGAAAGAGTCACGGGTTGCCCAAGGACTCGCGGGACTAGACACACAGGCTGGGCTCTTCCCAGTAAAATGCTGAGACTTTGCAAGGTTGGAGGGGGACGGGAGGCAGGAATGTGGATTTGGCCCCTGGGTCTGGGGTGGGGCACTGTCTTGGAATGAGGCCAAGTCAACGGCTGGGTGGGAAGGCTGATGCCTGGGATCTTTCTGCAGGTGCCCAGGGGCCGCCGGGATGGCCTGTCTGCCCACGTTGGCTCCCTGGCCCAGCGGGCATACTGGGCACTGCTGAGCCAACGGGCAGACCAGAGCATCGTAGCCCTTGGCCGCAGTGGCGCTGGGAAGACCACCTGCTGTGAGCAGGTCCTGGAGCACCTGGTGGGGATGGCAGGCAGTGTGGAAGGCAGGGTCTCAGGTACGGTGGTCCAGGTGATATGGACGGGGGTGCAGAAAGGGGAGTGTTGGAGGGGGTGCTGGGCTGCCCCTTCTTATATCCATTCAGCTAGCATTCGCTGAGCACCAGATACATGCAGACCCTGTGCTTGCAACCGGGCAGGGCTGCCCCAGGTCATGGGACGCATTCATTCAAATTAGAGTAAACTACTCCTTCTTTAAGACATTGACAACTATCTGCTGAACAATTACCATACACCGATGGTTAGAACCAGACGCTCGACTGCCATCTGCTGGGCAATCATCCCAATAAGTACATAAATCTTTGATAATGCGATGGGAAGGATGCACCCCTTGGATGTGGTGTCTTGGTGCAGTGCACGACCTGCTGAACTGTACAGAGAACTCAACAAGTAAAGACAGAAGGGCAGAGCCTATGCTTAGGAAGAGCGGAAAGCCAGAGGAAAAATTGAACTGTACATATGTACCTAACTCAACGGTGCTGCAGAAAGTGCTGGCAGAGCAGGTTCGGGAAGAGGCTGAGGGAACACAGAGCAGGTGTGCACGGGGACTTTCTTCAGGAAGTGCTATCTGAGCTTGGCCTTCAAGAAAGAGTGCCAATTAATAAGTACGGTATTAATAATGATCATAATAAACACTTGCTGAGGACTAGTGTGCCAGGCCCTATTCCAAGCATATGAACTTACTTATTATTTAAAACAACCCTGTAAGGTAGAAATTATTACTTGAATTTTATAAATTGAGGGCACTGAGATCAGAGAGGTTAACTAGCTTGCCCAATGCCACACAGCAAATCCATCCCAGAGCTGAGATTCAAACCCAAGCCGTCTGGTTCCAGAGATGTAACCACTGGGCCAATGTTCTCAACTTTTGTTTTATTATTGCTCCTCCCAAGGGGTTTTAGGGACATTTTTTCCCTAATCATCCCCCCACCATGGAATTTTAATTCCACGAAGAAATCATATATTTATTTACGTAGTATATATATACCTGCGCTGTAAACAAAAGTAAAATTTTTTTCATCACCCCCTCTAAGAATCAGTTTTTGCCCACCTTGGGGGCCATATCCTCCCCCTGGAGAATACATGACCTAGGTAATATTGTGTTTCTAATAATAAATGTGATAGTAACAGCGCCATCTTTGGAGCACTTTCTAAGCATTTGGCTTCATTAGATGTTTTAGGTTCTATTATTATCCCCATGTTGCTGATGGGCTATCCGAGGCCCAGGGAGGCTAATTCTTTGGTCCCAAATCAGGTAACTAGCCAAGGGCAGAGCCCGTATTCGACCTCTCTTAACCACTGAGATATACTACTTCTCTGCTAGGGTTAGCCCAGCGCTTTACTGAGCACCTACTCTACCCCTGGCCCACACGAGGAGCCGGGGTTGGCATGCGGAGGGGCACCAGTCTCTGTCCTCTCAGAATGTAGTTCTGTTGTGAGTGCATGTGTTGGAGAGTGGGAGTCAGGAGAGGCTGGATCCAGGTGCCCAGCACAGTGCTTGTTCCATAGTATAGGGACCCAACAAATAGCTGTGGAGAGCCATAGGGCTTTGAAAGCCTGCTTCCCTGAGTGTGGGCTCCAAACAGTGTCACCTCGCTTTCTCCTGGGCCCTGTCAGGTCTGTGAGGCCTTTGGGAAGCTCCTGTCATCCACATTGTGTCTATCTCGGGCCCTTCTAGACTGAGACTCGCTTCCCCCTTGCCTCAGCTTGCAGCACAGGGCCTGCCGGCAGTTGGTGCTCTGTGAAATGTGTGAGTTGGGCGGGGGCGGTGGCAGGTTGCCCACAGGGCGCCCACCCGGAGCAGGGGCCCAGCGGGAGGATGGACCCGCGGGAGGCGGGGGTGGCAGCCCCTGGGCCACACCTGACGCCTGGCCCCACGTGCCCACAGTGGAGAAGATCCGAGCCACCTTCACCATCCTCCGGGCCTTCGGCTCCGTGTCCACGGGCCACAGCCGCCACGCCACCCGGTTTGCCATGGTGATGTCGCTGGACTTCAGTGCCACGGGCCGGGTCACAGCCGCTCAGCTCCAGGTGAGGCCTGTGGGTGGACCGGCAAGGGCTCCCTGGGACTGCTGGGTCCCCAGCCCCTCCGGCCGGGACGCTGGGATGTGTCTGAGGTGGTCACCGACGCCCTAGCCGTGACCAGTTCCCCCTCGGCCTCGCTCAGTGGCCTGGAACGCCCTCTCCCGGAGCCGGCCCGCACGTCTGTGCTGCGGGCATCTCGGGACGGAATAGTCGAGAGTGAATGTATAACTCGGCCGCTCGTTCGCCGGGCCTTAAAAGCGTGAGCTGAAATCAAGCAGACGCCGGCCGGCCTTGCACGACGAACACACGGCCTGTTCGTTCCCGTCTCCGAAACCACCGGGACCGCAAACGCTCTCTCGAACAGAAAGCGGGATCAGGTCACTAGGAGGGCCGTGTGTGCGTGCAGCTGGGGAAGCAGACAGACTCGGGAAACTCGGTGCCACTGGAGTCCCTTCTCCGTCCCGGCCCTGGCATCCTGCCATTAGTCACCACTGGGGTCAAAGCGCTAAGGGTTTCTGTTAACAGAGGGACGTGGAGGGACAGCCCCGTGTGACGTCGTCACCTCTTGACACCTCGACTGGCACGGGCCTGTCGCGTCTGTCGGTTCCCGGGTGGACCCTGAGTTAGCGACGCAGAGGGCGGGGGAGTTCCGACATGGAGGTGACCAGCGAAGGCTGGAACCTGAGACGTTGCCTCCGAGAGAGGGTCGGAGTGGGGCACCCCGACGGGCCGCTGGGCAGTGGGGCTCCCGCGTGGGCAGGGGCACCCCGAGCACTGGCCAGGTGTCCCCCGCTTTCCCTGCAGACGATGCTGTTGGAGAAGAGCCGCGTGGCGCGGCGGCCGGAAGGGGAAGGCAACTTCCAGGTCTTCTCCCAGATGCTGGCTGGGCTGGACCTGGATCTCAGGTGAGCACCCAGGGCGGGCTGGGGGCGCTGCGGACAAGGGCTCCCGCTCTGCAGAGGCTCAGCCCTGGCTTCACCTCTGCCCAGAGCTGAGGGGCCCTGGTGTCCAGTGGTTGGGAACGTGGCCCCCGATTCCAGCTGCCTGGGTACGTGCTGCTTGTGGGCTGGGTGACCTTGTTCCCATGTCATCCACTCTGAACCTCGGTTTCTTCCTCCGTAAAGTGGAAATACCTTGAATAGACCTTGTAGGATTAAGTGAGATAATTCACATTCAGCTCTTTATAACGTGGGGAGGAGGGGGCTGAAGGCTGTCTGCCGTGATAGTGACATGTGGGAAGAAGGCAGGGAACAGCAGACCCCAAGTCTTCCAGAAGTTTTCAAACTTTGTGGGAGCCTTGGGTGCCTATGAGGGTGTGCCCACATGGGGTGCCTCGGGGTGGACCGCAAGCTGGGTGGTCAGACAAGCCTCATTTTGGAGGGCTGCCTGGGGGAGGTGGCCCCGGGAGTCATCTCTGCCCCTCCCCGACTCTACAGAGCATCCCTGGGCGTGTGGCTTCCTGTCCCTGAGCCTCGATTTCCTCATTTGTGGCTGAACAGGCCAGGTTCTAGGGAAGCCCCAGGGAGAGGACAGAGCTGGGTTTCCCATGCAAGAGGCGATAGTCTGTGGTTTGTCCCTCCCGAGCCCCCTGTTTTTGTTCCCCTGCCTCCCCCGTCATCTGAAGGGTGGGCTCAACCTCCCCGCCCATCCTGTCTAAGGCTGGAGGGACAACTGTACCCCGAGGAGAGAAGGAAGATTAGCGGGAACTCCCGGTTCTCAGCGTGAAGTAACTGAGTGGCAGGGAAGCCCCTAGACAGTCTTCAGAAGCTATAGAAGAACTTGGAGTAGGGCGGCTGGTACAGCGGAGTGGCTCGGCCCACAGACTCTGGGGCCAGGCTGCCTGGATTTGCCTCCTGGCTTCTCTGCTTGCTGGCTGTGTGACCTTGAGCTGGTGACTTTACCTCTCTGAGCCTCCCTTTCCTCATCTATAAAATGGATGAGATTCTACCTACCTCTGAGTGTTGCGGTGAGGGTTAAAAGTGAACAGGTAGACAATGCTTAGAATAGTGCCTGGACGTAGTGAGGGCTTTGTGTGTGTCTGTTGCTGGTTTTTGGAGGGTAGGATCTGCCCTGACAGCCCCCCAGGCCCTGCCCACATGTGTGCTGGAAAGGACTGACTTTGAAGGCAGAGGGATGTGGGTTTGATCCTGGCTTTGCCCCACATGGGCTTCTCTGAGCCTCAGTTTCCCCTTCTGTAGAATGGGTACAGCAGAGGATGCCAGGCTCAAGGGGATCTTGGTGGTGGTGAGTGTAGCCTAGGTGAGTTTGGCATCCTTAAGAGCCAGGCCAAAGCTGCCTCTGAGAGGAAGGGGCTGCCCCAGATAAGTTTCAGGGACCCCAGGGGAGTAAAGTGCTTGGACCAATTGAGACCCCTTAGGGAGTCATGGTCATTCAGGGGGGCCCTGGTCATCCCCCAGTTTTCTCTTTTTCTCTACCTCTGCTACTGCCAGGCTGGTCTCTCACCCACACGAAAGCTTCCAAAGGGTAAAAGTTGGTTCCCACTTCCACAAAGGTCTCTTTTTCCTCCCAAGCACTCATGTGGCAAACTCCTATTCATCCTTCAAAACCCTACCCCAAATCCCTTTCTTTAGCAGAGTGCTGCCTGATTCTTGCAGCTCACTTTGGTGCCTGGTATGTGCTTCTGATTCAGTACCTGCCATGCTGGGGTATAGGGATCTCTCTTCCTCACCAGATTGTTGGAGAGATCTTTGAATCAGGGGCCCTGTGTTCCTCCTTTCTCCCTCCCCAGTACCTAGCATAGAGCTTGGCACCAAGTAGATGCTTCTTATTTATTTGTCAGTTTGAATTTCCAACTAATGGAAGAGAGTGTGGGGGAAACATAGAGTGCTCACTCTGTGCCAGGCTGGCAGTGTGAGTTTATGTACAATATCTCATTTAATTCTGTGAGGCAAGGAGTAGAACGCCCATTTTACAGATGAGGAAAAGTGAGCCTCGGAGAAGAGGAATAGCTTGGCTGCTAAGTGGCAGCGCTGGGGTTGGACTCAAAGCCTATCCGATAAGGGGGCTTCAAGGACACGAGGTGGAGGAGAGAGGTGTGGGGTGTGCAGAGGACTAGAGTTCTGGGGCCCAGTGAGAAGCTCCACTTTCCAGGAACCATTTGAGTCTGCACGGGGCTTGGAGGACCCTAGGCTGAGCTCCGTGATGCTTTTGTGAGTGGCGTGTGTTTCGAGAGGGGCGGGGGGGACAGCCGTACCCCCATCCCCCCAGCTTGCATTCTCCAGGCCTGCAGTAGTGGCAGCCACTCTGCAGACCCCACTCTCAAGGAACCTGCAGTTTGAACACTGGAAGGGGCCTTAAACATCATGCCGCTTTACAAGGTGCAGACCGAGACCCAGAGAGGGGTGAGCGGCAGGACAGCACCGGGAGTCTGGGCTCTGGGGGCCAAAAGACCTCAGCCCAACTCCTGGCTGCAAGTTTTCTAGCTGTGAAGTCTTGGGCCAGGTACTAACTCTCAGTACCTCTGTTTTTCCATCTCTAAAATGGGAATAATATTTGTACCATTGAGTGGGGCTGTCATGAGTAATCTTAGAACTTAGCATACAGCAAGGACTCGTTCATGTTGACTGTTCTAATATTACCTTTGAGTGAAGTCCCCTGGCTGATTAGAAGAAGACCTGGGATTAGAACCTGTTCCCCTGGTTTTGCACCATAACTCTTTCTTCTGGGGTGTTCTGGCTCTTAGCAAGGGCCAAGTAAGGGCAGCGAGTGATGAATATTTGGGAGATTGGAGGTATCCCTGGGAAAACCTGGTGGGACCAAGGCCTGGGGCGGCCGATGAGGCTGCCTGGGCCGTTGCGTGAAATGCCGCACTGTGGTGACCACCTGCTCTGCAAGGTCACTGATATGGGTCCCTTTCCTGCTTTCAGGACAGAGCTGTACCTGCATCAGATGGCAGACAGCAGCTCCTTTGGCATGGGCGTGTGGTCCAAGGTAAGGAGGGGTTCCTCATGCAATAAACAAACAAACACATTTAAACCCATTCCTCACACCATATACAAAACTTAAACAAACAAACAAAAACCACCATAGACCTGAATATGAAACTTAAAAGCACAAAGTATTTCTAGAAGAAAACAGGAGAAAAGTCTCTGAAACCTAGGGTTGAGCAAAGTTTCTTAGATGGGACAGGTGACATCAAAAGCACAGTCCATGAGAGAAAAAATTGACTTCATCAAAATTAAGAACTTCTGCTCTTTGAAAGACTGTTAATATGAAAAGGCAAGCTGGTCTGTGAAAATATCTGCGACTCACATATCTGATAAAGGATTTGTATCTAGAATATAAAAAATTACTCTCAATTCATAAATAAGACCGCCTGAAAAACAGGCAAAAGATTGAACATTCATTTCACCAAAGGAGATAAATGCATATCAAATAAAGCACATGAAAATATGTTCAACATAATTAGTCATTAAAGAATTTAAAATAAAACCACAGTGAGATACCACTATGCAATCACTAGAATGGCTAAATTTTAAAGAGATCGATCCTAGGAAGTGCTGATGAGAATTTGGTGTACCGAAATTCTCGTATATCGCTAGTGGGAATGTAACATAGCACAACCATTTTGCAAAACAAAGCGGTTTCTTAACGCTTGGTCTAGTTTAGCAGTTCCTTAAAAAAGCTGGCCATATACCTTTGTATGACATACTATTCTACTCTAGATATTTAAGCAGAAGAATAAGAGTGGATGTTCATACAAAACTTTTACATGAAAATTCACAGCGGTTTTGTTACAGCCCAAACCTGCAAACCACCCAAAATGCCTATCGACAGGTGAATGGGCGATACATTGTGGCATATCCATACAATGGAACGCTACACAGCAATGAAAAGGAACCAACTTACCTACCCAAGAACGTGGGTGGGTCTCCAAAGAGCTATGCTGAGTGACAAATCCCAGATAACAGTACAACTGTACGATCCCACGTTTGGGGCCATGAAAACGTCCACTAATCTATAGTATCAGAAGGCAGGTTAACGGTCACCTGGGATTGGGAGGGGGCGAGAGGAGGGAGGAAAGGATTACAAAAGGGAACTTTTGGGGGCGATGGATGTGTTCGTTGTCTTTATTGTGATGAAGACAATAAGGTTTCATGGATGCATATGTCAAAACTCATCTAATTGTACATTTTAAAGATGAGCAGTTTACCTTTTGCCAATTATACCTTAAGAAAGCCGCTACACACACACGCACACGTTGCGGGATATTATCCACAGAGTTTCTGATTCAGTTCCTATGGGGTGGGGCCCGAGAACTTGCATTTCTCACAAGTTTCCAGTAAATGCCGATGCTGCCGGTCCAAGGACTGCTGTAGTGGCGTCTGTTTCCGCAGCGGGTGGGAGGGATGTGGGGCTCTCCCATCTTTAAATCCCGGGGGCCAATCTACTCTTCACCTTCTGACACCTCATTCACTGGGGGAGACCCTTTAGTGCGTTCTTTGTTCATACTTTTTTTCCCCACCACTGGAGGGCATTAGGTGCCCAGACCTTGACCTTGAAGGCGAAAGATGAGACGTTATCTCAGCACTGGGCTTTCTCATCCATTTAATGAGTTTTGGCAAAATACGTCCATTTGAATCAGCAAGGCAGTTGTTGTTTGTTTTCCTGTTGCTTTTGAGCAGGAAAAAGGGCCCAAGCTGGGCCCCTTTGAGCTCTCCCCAGCCTGACCTGTTTGTTAACAGTCTGCATAAAGGGATTGGTCACAGTGTGAATTCGTGTCAAGAAAGCATTTGAAGTGCTTTCCTTTTTTTCCTGTGTTTCTGTGGGGCAGATTTTTCAGACCAATTGATTTGCAGGAACCGGTAGGGTGTTCCTTTGTTCTCTCTCCGCCACCTGGCAGGTATCAAGGGAATGTTTTCTCTGTTCTTTAAGAACAAAAATAAAGTCTGCAAACTCACTGGTCTTTGATACAAACTTGGGCTTATTCCTAGGGTTGGGCTATTCAGGGACAGTCTCATTAAAGGAATCTGGTGGTCAGGAAATGCCCCCTAAGAATGAGAGTTGCGAAGTATGAGCCTCCAAGGTTTTCAGATTTTGCAAAAAATAATACAGGATGCCTGAGTTAAATTTGAATTTTGTGTAAATATCAAATAATGTTTTGGTGTAAGTATGTCCCAAATGTTGCACGGGCAAGCCTGAAGGATCGGGGGTGTATCAGGGAAGACTGCCAGGAGGAGGTGACCAGGAGCTGGTCCTGGAAGAAGAATGAAATTAGACGGATGCTGAAAATTCACATGGAGTCTGACAGAGGCTGGTTCACATCCCAGTACCAGCTTAAGCTGGTACTTAAGCTGGTCTTAAGCAAGTGACATCATCTCCCTGGGCCTCAATTTCCTCTTTTGTAAAACTGGGATAGTATGAGTCCATGTCACCCCCACAATTAAATAAGATAAAGCCAATAAAGCACTGGGGCAGTGCCTGACACTCAGCCAGTGTCAGGTGTATTACTGTTATTGTTTAGTGTTATCACGGCTGGCAGCGTTGGACAAGCGGGGCGGGGCAAGCCCTCGATAGCCCGTGGGAGGGCTTGTCTTGTTCGCATCAGCAGGGCCCTGCCTGCGCCCTCAGGTCCCAATCAATGCTCCCTGGCAGGACGTGCCATGTTTTCTTTCTTGCCTCGTTTATATTTTTAACGAAGCATCTGTTTTTAAAACATTAAGTGAATACACACTTCCCATGGAAAAATCGGAAATCAAAAAGAAAAAAAAACCATAAAGACAAAACAAAACCCAAACACACACACACTCATGCAAACTAGGAAACAAATGCTAATAACTTTCCCACCCAGAGAAATCCACTGGTAACATCTCCACCAATGTTCTTCCAGCGTTTTTCCTGTGAAATTTTACATAGCTCATCACAAGCCGGACAGCATTAAAACTTTCCTAAACAATATTTTTAATGACTATTCATGGAGGAGCCCTGATTCCCTGAACTGTTTCTCTAATGTTGTCCATTTATAGGGTTTTAAACCTTTCTGTGGCTCTTAATAATGCGGCGATAAATATCTTTGTGCATCTGCCTTTGGGCTGTGTTACCCTCTCAGGATCCCAGCCTCTGTCTGAGGAGATGCCGCCTGTTCTTGTCTTTCCTGCTGTCTCCGTGGTGACAATCTGGGTGGCGGATCACAGTTTACCTACAGTCTAAGTTCCGTGAGGGTGGGGGTCTCACGTATCTTGTTCACTGCTGCAAAGACAAGGCCAAGCGCTCAGCCAGCACATAGCTAGTGCTCAACACACGTTTGCTGAATGAATAAATGAATGAGCATGCCCAACGCACCACGACTTTGCTAAAATCGCGTCTTTTCATTTTTCTAAGCCTTTGCTACTGTGGTCGGCAGAGATATGTCCATTAAACTTCACTTTCTCCCCACTGTGTCATTTCACTAGGTCTTTGGGGGGTCTCATGTCTTCCTTTGGACCCACTGCCTGGGTCCCGGGAGCTGCAGTGGTTGTTGGGAATCTCAGAGGACCCGCAGAAAGGGATTGGGGAGCTCCAGGCTCCCATCTGTCGGCCAGCCTGGGCCACCGGGGTCCCCAAATCTGGGATGAGCAGTACCGTGGGTGGACACGCTCTCTCCTGCCATCTACGGCTTTTATTTGGGGACACTCACCGGTGGCTCATTGTGATTCACTCATCGACAGATATTTATTGATCTTGTTAGATGCGCCAAGTGCTGGCATGCAGAGGTGACTCAGCTGGGTCTCTGTCGTCAAAGGACTCATGTTTGGGAGGTGGTCGGGGCTGCCACGCCCACATCAGCAGATCAGTCCAAGCAGGAGGGACATGTGCCTGAATAGAGGTGTGTGTAGGCTGAGGCCAGGCTGGGAGGGGTAGAGGCATATCAGGGAAGGCTGCCTGGAGGAAGTGACCGTGAGCAAGAACTGAGCTGAGAGTGAGTGATACGGGTGCAGTGAGGCCAGCATTCCTGTGACACTGGGCACTGGCTGCAGAGGTAGAGGTGGGTGGTCGGCTGGAGCAGGGACCCAGGGCGGAAGTGCTGAGACCCCCAGTGTGGCGCTGGCTGGGCACTCAATGACTGCCCCCACGCGCTGACTGCCAGTTTCACGTCTTAGTCCCTGCCCTGCGCCCTCGCCGCCTGCCGCATTTCAGCTTTTAACTGGAACTTAATCGAGATCTGCTGAGCACCAGGACACATTTGTGAAATCACAAAGCTTTCCTATTATTTTCTTCTTCTCTATAATTTGTTTTTCTGCAGCCTAGCCTGGTATTTTTTTTAAAAGTTCCCGGCAGCCGTGGTAGTCATAATAATAATAATAATAACATTCCTTGCCTCCCAGCAGTGTGCTTCTGGCTGTCACATTCCAGGCGTGGGCCGGAGGTGCATTTATTTCTCACGACGCAGTTGTCAACTGCAGAGGAATCGTCTCCAAAGGGCAGCATGGCGGTCACTTGCTCGTGCCGGGGCTCTGCCGGGGGTTTCCTTTACTTAATCCTCCTAAGGGCCCTTGGAGGTGAGGAATTATGATCACATCTGTTTTCCAGGAGTAGCCAGACTCAGAGAGGTGAAGTAACTTGCCCAAGGACACACAGTTTTTAAGTGGCAGAGGCAGAACTGGGACCCTGGTCGGCCTGACTTCACATCCGTTACTTCTGTTCTTCCCACTTTGTCATCTCAGTCCCGCGTCATGGCTGAAGACAGTGTGCTCTGGGGTCTGATGCACTGTACGCCCCTGGGTCACTTAACCTCTCTCAGACTTAGTTTTCCACCTGGGGAATGGGTAGAGCATCACCCAACTCCTCAGGTGACTCCAAGGATTGGGGGCCCAGCAGAGTGATATTTATTAACTCTGTCCCTCCCCAGCTGGGTGGCCTTGGGCAAGAAACTTCATCTCTCTGAGCCTCAGTTTCCTCCTCTGTCAGTTGGAGAGACCCAAGCCTGCCTCATAGGGAAAAACCACTAGTACAATGTAGTAGGTGCTCAATTAATGCTTTCTCTCCTCCCCACTTAAATGGACTCTCAGTGCCCAGGAAGGAAGTGAATTGCTGAGATGTTGAGTGAGAGGCAGAGCCACTTGGGAACAGGCTCTGGACGGACACCCGTCCTGCCCTCCCCACAGTGTCCATGCGGCTCACCCGCTTGCGCAGGCACTCACGCGATATTTCTTTCGCAGATGAATTGAGTCAGGGCTCAGCATTTTCCTCCCCGAGCTGGCTCCAGGGCCAGGAGGTGGAGGGATGGGAGACCCCAGGTCAGGTGGGTTGTAGAGCCCCAGGGGAGTCTACCTGGCCCTGGAGGAGAGGGGACTGGTTTACATCCCCGTGAGTCGCAGTCAGACCCAGGCCTGCCTAAGGCCGTCCAGTGTCCTCGTATCCCGGGGAGAGGATGCCCGGGTGCCACTTCCCTCTTCCAGGGAAGGCTCCAGGAGCATCTGTCAGAGAGCAGCTCGCCGCTGCAAGCCGTGGCTCCCCACTGCGCTTTACTCTGCGAGAGAAGCCTGAACACCTGCCTGTCCTTGGGGTTCTCAGCACTCAAATGTCCCATGCTCCCCCGGCCCCCTGTCCTTCTGCTTGCAGACCCTTCCTGCTTCCCAGCACCCACTCTGCCTGGCTCCTTCTGTTCACCCTTCCTGAACTGCTTCATATACCACTACTTCCAGGAAGCCTCCCTTCCTTTCTAGTTGGTTCTAGGCCCCTGCCCAGAGTCTCCCCAGCTCCTGGCAAGCACTCTGTGTGTCACCCACCATCTGTTTGCACATCTGTCACCCACAGTGCACTGGGAGCCCATGGAGGGCAGCGCCATGCCTTACCCACTTTCCATGGAGTGCTGGGCACGAACTTGGGCAGCAATGGGGAAAAGTGTCCCTGGGAGGTGGAACAGCCTAGGCAAAGGCATGGAGAGAGAGAGGCAGTAGTGAGTAGAAACCGTCATTTATTGAGCACCACTGTGTGCCTGCTACCGTGCTGATTGCTTTACACGTATCGACTCATTTAGTTCTCAAGACAGCCCTAGGAGGACAGCAGGATATTATTTCCATTAAAAAAAAAAAAAAGTGAAAACTGAGGTTCAAGGGCAAGAGACTTGTGCAGAGTGATACCGCTGGGATTGCAGAGTCCAGAGTGGTGTCTGACTCCAGATCCAAACCTGGCCTCTCTCAGCATCGCAGGAATCTCTTGGGTGCTCTAAACCTAGGCCGTGTTAATACGGACTGAACATTTTGGATTTTATTTTTTTTCGCTCAGTTACCTGCAGACTTTGGTTGACCTTGAGACTGATTGCCTCAGAAAAACTCTGAGCATCTTGTGATTTGAATTTTTTTCCCTCCCACTGATTATTTTTTTAATCGAGGTAGAACATAAAGTGTACAAAGTATACTCACTGTAAGGGTACAATTCAGTGATTTGGACGATGATTTATTCCATTCGTTCGACTGATCTCTGTTTTCACGATTTTGATCCAAAGAGTGGCTTTTGCCAGGGCGTTATGCAGAGGTGTTTGAAGAACAGTTGGCTCTCTGCAAGTTTAAGGAACTGCAAACACCTTCCCGATCATTATCATTTTAAATCAAAAACCTATATATTTGTTGATTCGTGGCTTCTGGTCCAAAAGAGACAATGGAAGGGGGGGAGGGGAGGAAGAGTTGGAAGCAAAGGAGCTTTAGCAGGAGTTTTCTCATTCTTCTCTTCCCGCGAGCTAAGCGGCGGATGACGGAGTCCACCTCAGATGGAAAGTCAAATGCTCGCAGCTGACGGTGGGAGCTGTAATAAATGCGTGGGCACGGTCCTTTTAGCGTCCTCTTTCTGCTACTTTGAAATCTCATAAATAACCAAGAGTATGTCGGTAAGACGCCTTCCTTCCCTACGTTGGCTCCAGCTGCGGTTGCTAGGTTGAGCTTCTGGTTGCTAGGGATTTTGTGGTCCTGTGGCGGCCCACAAATATGATGGATCAGTGGAACATGCTTTTGCTATTAACTGAAGTGTTTCCACAGCAAATCTCTCAGTGTCGTTGCGTGCTTTGACGTCGCCCCAACTGGTTGATGATCTTTGTGGGTTTCCCAATTAGAAGCGGCCTGAATGGAGGGGACAAATGGCTTGGAACTGGGAGGCAGAAAAGCCTGCTTCTCATCTTGTATCTGGTGTTAATTTGCTGTGTGATCTTGGGCAAGTGTCTCCCCGTCTCTGGGTGCTGGACTTTACAAAATTCAAGGACCTGCTTTGACAGCCTATGGTTCATCACCCAAGTTCTCTAAGCAGGCTAAGTGCAAATCAGTTTCTCATTATCTGCTGGTGGATTATTGACAAAAGAATTCCTGTGCCCGGCTCACTTCCTCTTTACCCAGCAGGCTTCTGAGCTGAGCCTCCTTGGCCAGATGGTGTGTGCACAGTAGTTTCAGACTAATTTTAATATTCAGTCACACATAATTGGGATCATAAATCTTAAAAACAACAACAACAACAACCCTACAACCCATAAACATCTGATGGTGTCATTTTCTCTTGCCTCCTGTTAAAATCTTTGGCAGTTTCCCATTGCTGCATGGGGGGTGGAAAACTAGTACCATTTCAGTTACTAAGGCAGATCAGTTGGTGGCAGCCACAAGAGGTGATGTCCCGAAAGGAATCTGGACTCATCGGCTTGCTGTGGGATCTTGATTGATTAGTGGTTGATTAGTGATGTCTGCCGTGAGTCCAGGAATATCAGTAGGGACACGTATGCGTATTTGCCAATCATGGCTGCAATGTAAAGTCCGTGCCTTTTTTTAATATAATACTTGAGGCTTTTAAGATTGGCCCCTGCCAGCTTCTTGAGTTTTATCTTCTCCCCTTCTCTGTCTCACCCCCTTCCAAAAATATTAATAAACTGTTTTAATGGATCACCTGTTGTCCCCAAAATTCCCTTTTGCTCATGTGGTTCCTTCTGCCTGTAAGGACCCTTGTTACCTTAAATTGGTTAACTCTGCTGATTTGTCTTTCATACTTTGATCACAATTTGGTCTCATCCGCATTCTTCTCTTTGGCTCTCCTGGGCGAGATGGATTCCCACTCCCTCCTCTGATACCCCAGAGCTCCCCACGTAGACCTGTAACCTGCCTTGCACTTAGCCTGTTTCACACTCAGTGACTTTTATGTCTCTTCCCACTTCTACCTTGAGAGGGCCTCAAAGTCAAGGTCTGGGTCTTTGGCTCATCTTTGCACGCCCAGACCAGAGCCCAGGGTGGAGCAGAGCCTCCGTAAATCTGTCCTGAATGAACACACGCGTGCATAAAACTCACGCTGCATGGCGAAGTCAGATAGGGATGATTTTGATAATTTTCCCAGATGACTGAGTTTGTTGGGCAACACTCCTCGGCTTCATTGTGGGTAATTTACCGGGGTAACATAGTGACCCACACGTTCTCCTGAGACCGAGCTTTGTTCAAGTTGTGGATTCGCATGTTCTCCAAGTGACGGCCGCTTTTTCTCTTCCTCTCCCTCCCCTCTCAGCCTGAAGACAAGCAGAAGGCGGCGGCTGCCTTTGCCCAGCTCCGGGGCGCCATGGAGCTACTGGACATCTCAGAGAGCGAGCAGCGAGCCATTTGGCGGGTGCTGGCAGCCATCTACCACCTTGGTGCGGCGGGGGCCTGCAAAGGTACGTTCTTCCTGCTGGTCACCTGGGTCGCCAGCTGTCTCCTTTGGCAGGTGCCTGACAAGGCCCTTCTCCCGGAGAGATGGGGACAGGGTCAATCTGTCATCTTCAGTGTCTCTGGGACTGCTCTGCGGGAGGCTGCTGAAACCAGGCATCACGAGGAGGAAACAGGGCTGGAATTTCCAAACAAACCTTCTAGACCAGGTCTGTCCAAAGGAACTTCCCGAAATACCAGAGATGTTCTCTCGCTATGCTGTCCAGCGTGGTAGCCACTGGCTGCAGGTGGCCGTCGAACACTTGAAATACAGCCAGTGCAAGTGAGGAACTGCATTTTTCATTGTGTTTAATTCTAACTAATTTGAATTTAAGTGGCCACGTGTAGCTAGTGGCTACTATACTGGGCAGAGCAACTGTAGGCCATGCTAAAGAAGAGTCCAGAAGGCTCCAGTCGCCATTTCGGTCCTCTTCTGCAAACCCCCAAGGGAAGTCTTTCCATCGGTAGCTCTAGGCGAAGCAGAGTTCTGATTTTCAGCGTGGGTTTCTCAGTGTGGAGACTAAGTTGCTATCCTCTGATCATATCGACATTAAACAGTCACCCCATAGAAGCAGAAGTTCGAGAAAACTGCAAACAGGGCCCAGAAAACCATCCATTTTTTACTTTGCGCCATCTAACTTTAGCTGAGCACTTCAGACAACATTGCCTCTGTTGAACCCTTTCTCAAGAGCCACCCCAGCTGCTGAGATGAGTCAACACTGACTTTGTGCCCAGACCTGCGCTGGGTGTTGGTGGGGGCACAGGAGAGGCTGTGTGGGTACCGTCCCTCCTTGTGACTTTGCCGTCTTGCTTGGAGAGATGAGACTTCTAAATGTGAGGCCGTCACCCAGCTTTATTAGCCCACAGAGAGGGGGCGCGACTGCATCGTTCAGACCAGGAAAGGAGGGAAGGCTCCGTGTTGGCGCTTAGACCTCCGTGGTCTGGGGACGTGTGGCAGGAAGCAAATGTGTTTTCCAGAATAGAAAACCGAGACTTGGAAGGGCGAGGTGTCACACACTGCAGGGCGTGGCCTCTTGAATGAGGCGGATTTGGGTTAAAGATGAATCTCTCAGATTCCCTGGCTGCTTCTTTCAATGGGCTAAGAGCGGGTTCAACGCGCGGATTAAACGGAACGAGGATGAGGAGGCTGATTTAGGCTGTGCCCCACCAGAAGATGCGAGACGAAGACAGGAGGCGTGTGCCTTGTGTGGGAGAGGATCCCAGGAGGCACCAGCAGGGGGAGGCAGAAGTGAGACGGGGGACGGGAAGGCAGGTGACGCAGGTGCGTTAGGAGCAGCTTCCCTGGGCAGTTGAAGCTCAGTCCCACTGGCGACCTCTGGGACACTCTGGGGAACATGCCTCCTAGTTGTCTGATCCAAGAGGCCAGGAAACTGGGGTATTTATCCAGAGACAAAGGGAACCCCCTGGACTGTCGGCGTGTCAGCAGAGACGTGAGGAAGCTCGGTTAGATGCCTGAGTTTCTCCTCCCGGGGCAGAGGGCGGATGCGGACCGAGACCTAACCCATGCATGCGAACGCCGGGACGATAAAAGAGAAAATTGCTTTTATAAATATTTTATTAATACACGATTATGGCAATAATTTCTCCCATCCCTCCCCTCCCCACCCCACCTCGTAAATTATTTTAAGAAGAGCTGCCGTCAGTCTGCCTGGGAGGCCTGCCCGATGATTTACTTACTATATATTCTGCTTTGGAACATTTCATAATAGGTTGCTCTAAAATCAGCTATTAAGAATTTCAAAGTCGTATATAAATGTCTTTGCTTTGTGTCATAACAGATCATTTTGAAATATATTAAGAATCATTTTCATTAATCAAGGTTTTTTTCTTTTTCTTCATTAAAATGATACTCTCTTCCCAGCGCGCTTGGCTTCCCAACTTATGTTGAGAGCCCTGATCCTGTTTTTAAAAGCCAATGACAGCCCCTGTGGGGAGATTTGGGGGCCTTATTACTGGACTCAGGGTTTTGAACTGTTAATATTGGCTTGGTGTTTGACAATTGCAAAAGCTCTGGTATCTCTATTGTGCCTTTTGATCTGATCAGACTCTTGTACTCGTCCCGCGAGGAAAAACAGGGCCATTGACAAGAGTCCCGAGTCAGCCTGCTGGCTGTGAATGCCGGCCCGATCTCCCCGAGCCCAGTTCCTCCTTTGTGAAATGGGGCTCATGGGGGTCATGGTGACACCCACTTTGGAGGCGTGTTGTGAGGATTAAATGAATCAATGCCCAGGACTGCAGAGCCCAGAACTTGGCTCCTGGTGGAGGGGTTCATAAGTCTTCACTTTCATCCGTTTCCATTTTATAGACAAGCAAACAGCAGCACAGAGAAGGTGCATCACTTACCTGGTATCACACAGCCAGGACGTGCCAGAGTGAGGTTTGGGCCAGTCTCATTTTCCTGGAGCCCCTGTGCTCAGCGCTTACAGATCTGACCATGTCACTGCCTCCTTAGAGCAGCCTGGGAGGGACAAGAATGATGCCCTTTTTACAAATGAACAAACCGATGCCCACCAGAGAGTTTCGTACAAACTCCTCAGGACACACAGGCAAAGCCAGAGATGGTATCTGGACTTAGGACTGCCAGAGATGGGCCCAGCCTCCGGAACCACACCTCCTACCTGCCGGGCACCCTGTGCTGCTGCCTCCTCCAGCAGGACAACAGCTCACTGACACCTGCAGCTAGCGCAGACCCCACAGGGGAAGGGCTCGGTCCCGCACGACTGCCCCCACGACGGGTGCTGGCTGCAAGCCCCGGGCCTCCTACTCTTCCAGCTGACTGGCTCTAAAGTTGGGGCTCCCTCAACCCCGTCCTCCTGTTTGGTGATTCACTGCAGTGACTCCCAGGACTCAGTAAAGCACTTGACCTACTACTACCGGTTCATTACACAGGGTACATCTCAGGGACAGCCAGATGGAAGAGCCGCATGGGGCAAAGTGTAGGGAGCTGCCTGCCTCTCCCCGAGCGACACCCTCCCAGCACTCCGATGTATGGGAAGCCCTTGGGACGCCATCGTTTAGGGGTTCTATGGAGGTTTCCTGATGCAGGCGCGATGGATTAAATCACCAGCCAGTGGTGATGGGCTCGATCTCCCGCGCCTCTCCCCTCCTCAGAGGTTGGGGGTGCGGTTGAAAGCCCCTGACCCTCCAATCGTGCCGTGGTCTTTCTGGTGGCCATCCCCCATCCTGAAGCTACCTAGGGGCCCCCAGACACCAGTCATCTCACGAGCATCCCCAAGACAGTCTTATGGAGATTCCAAAGGGGTTTTGGAGTGTGTGCTGGGAACCGGGGACAAAGGCTGAATATGTATTTATCACAGGGGCCAAGCCCTGAGCGACAGCCCCCCGGGCCTGGCTGGCTGTGGCCTCCACCCAGGGCCTCCTGGGGATGTGCAGCATTAATCCCTAGTGTCCCGGGTCAACCAGACTGGGGACGGGCGGCCAACGTGGTGAGGCCTGAACCCAGGACACTGACTGGGCGGGGGGTTTTCCTTTCCACTGTCATCCTCTTGCCCACTCTGGGCACTGTTGCTTCCTCTTTCTCTTCTGGAAACTTCCTTCTCCTTTTTTCCTGCTTTATAAGGGCTCCAGCCCTTCTTTGTTCTTTAAAAGACCGCTATGCGCATGCATGGTGGTCCCAGGCTGATGAGGGCCAGGCCTGCGGTCACCACGTGGTCCCTGCCCAGGGACCTTCGGCACCGACATCACACAAGACCCCCACACAACTCCTTGGGACCCTCCTGAGCCTCCTGCTCTGAGGCGGGGGTCACATTGCATCCCCCCTGAAGTTCCCACCAGGTCCCTGCTGGCCCCCGTCCCTGTCCCTTCGGTTCCTGTGATGCAATGCGGTGTCCTTTATTGCAGGAGACCTTTCGGCGCCTTCCCTTGGGCAGCTGGTTGGCCGCCTGCAGGGGCTCAGGCTAACCCTGTCATCAGCCGGGTGCCCTGGGCAGCCCCAGCGTCAGAGAGGACACCTCCCCTCGGATGTGGCAGAGAAAAGGACACGGACACTTTGGCGTCAGCCAGTTCTAGGTTCAAATCTCAGCTTGGCCTTTTACTGGCTGTGCGTAACCCGGGTCACGTTACATAATTAGCCTGAACTCGATCTATAAACGGGAGAAATGGCAGCATGGAGCCATCTGGGCCTCACCCAAGCTCGCACTGCTGGCAAGAGTGGCCCAGACCTATTTGCAAAGCGGCTTTACTGAGGTGCACTTCACGTACCATACGGCTCACCCACTTGGAGCGTACACTTCAGCGGTTTTTAGAATAGTCTCAAATATGTGCAACTATCACATAGTCAATTCTAGTCAAATTTGGAACATTTTCATCATCTTAAAAAGAAACCCTTCAGCCGTCGCCCCCTAAACCCCTCATCCTTAGGCAATGCGCTCCTCCCAGTCTTAAACCACCACTGAGCTGCTCTCTGTCTCTGTGGATTTCCTTGTTCTGGGCATCTTACATGAACGCAATCATATGTGTTCTTTTGTGATTGGCTTTTTTCGCTTAGCATAGTGTTTTCAAGATCCATCTCTGTTGTATCACCGATCAGTGCTTCAATCCTTTGTAGGGCTGAATAATATTTCATCGTATGGATATACCACATTTTGTTTAGCCGTGGACCATGTTTTCTTTCCATTCTTCCCAAGACCTGGGCCATAGGAACTGCTCGAGAAATGCTAATTGAGTGTATGCCCCAAATGAGCCTGTGCAGGGGTAGAATTACACCCATTCTCCAGAGGGAAGGCAGAGGCCGAGCGGTTCTGGGATGGGATGGTGTACATAAGCATGCTTAGAAGACTAGACTATGGTCAGACACACCCAGCCAAGTTTCAGCTCTGCCCTTTGTTAGCTGTGTAAGTTGGAACAGGTTGGTTTCTGTCTTTAAGCCTCAGTTTTCTCATCTATAAAATGGGGACAATGATAATACCTTCCCCATAGGTGAGAGCAG